TCTTCTCCGATATCCTGGTGGTGCCCCAGGTGAGTGCCGTGGCTGGCCGCGTCCTGGTGGTGCCCCAGGGGAGTGCCGTGCCTGGCCGCGGGAAGCAGCGGCTGGGAAGGGGCCTGGATCCAGGGCTGCCCCATTCCTGCCTCCTCCTCTCTCCCCCATCCCCAGGCACTAGGCATGGAAGTTGTCATGACACCTGGCAAAGGACCCACCTTCCCAGAGCCCCTGAAGGAGGTGGAGGATCTGCTGAAACTGCGGCAGAAGGTGGATGTGACCGCGGAGCTGGGTTATGTCTTCCAGGCCATCACACTGACGCGGCACAGCCTGGAGGGCAAGGTGCCCCTTATCGGCTTCTCTGGGGCACCTGTAAGTGATGGGGCTCCATGAGGTGGGATTTCCAGCCGGGCGTGGTCTTCCCTGCTCCTTCTTCTGGGGTAATGCCATCCCCAGCACCCGCAGAGCTGCAAGGACCTGTGTCACCGGAACTACACTACTGGTGTCAGTAGTGTAGTTCATCCTGTGTAAGGCAGGGGGGTGTTTGATGTGGGAGGAGCTGATCCCCAGGCTCTGGGGCATTCACAGGTCCTGCCTTCAGCACTGATCCCGTGACTGGTCCCTCACACCTTCCATCTCCCTCTTCGCCACCTTCTCTCTTTCCCGCAGTGGACGCTCATGTCCTACATGATTGAAGGTGGCGGCTCCTCTACGATGGCCAAGGCCAAGAGCTGGCTCTATCGTCACCCTGATGCGAGCCACCGACTGCTGCGGCTGCTCGCTGACGTCATCACTGACTACCTGGTGGGGCAGGTGGCTGCTGGAGCGCAGGTGTGTCCCAGGGCCAAGTCTGGGCAGGAGGGCAGAGACTAAGGACAACGAGCAGAGGGGGTCTAGCAGCCAGGAGGAGGAGAGGGAAGAAGGACTGGGGTGTGTGGCACCCATGACTCTCCTAGCCCCGCATCTCCGACAGGCGCTCCAACTGTTTGAATCCCACGCGGGGCATCTGGGCCCAGAGCAGTTCCAGGACTTCGCCCTGCCCTACATCCGAGACATTGCCCAGGGCGTGAAGAGCAAGCTGAAGGCTGAGGCGCTACCCCTGGTGCCCATGGTGAGTCTGAGGCTGCCCAGACCTGTTGCCTGGAGGCTCATGGGGAGGGTTGGGAGCACAGCCAGCTCCCTGTCCCAACAGTGGGGAGGAAGCAGGGGAAGAACAGGCCAAAAACCAGCACAGAGGGTGTCTGGGAACTCCTTGCTTCAGGGCACAGCCCACCTGTGAGTGGGGCCCTGCACTGCCTTCCTACCTTGAGTGGTGTCTGCACCCAGCATCCACCAGCCTGTCATTGGCACTTAGCACTGGTCACCTGCCACCTGTGTAGGCATGGCTCCCCCAACCTGCTACAGAGGCAGCAGCATGTCACCATCCCTCCTTGCAGCTCCTGGTACCTCTTGCATCCCCACCAGTATCCCCAGTTGTCCCCAGCATCCCCTGTTCCAGCCCATGGAGAGGGGCTTGGCCCAGAGCAGAGTCACTGCCCATCTCTTCCGTCCCCAGATTGTCTTTGCGAAGGACGCGCACTACGCGCTGGGGGACCTGGCCCATGCCGGCTACGAGGTGGTCGGTCTCGACTGGACCATCCGGCCGCAGGAAGCTCGGTAAGAGTCTGGCACAGCACTCGCATGCCCACGCTGCATCTCAGGCTGAGTGCCCTGGCCCCTTCTCTGCCCCAAGCCATCACAGGCCTGGGGATTTCTAGCCCAGGTGTGGGGAAAGCCCAGCCCCAGCGCTACATGGAGCTAACAGCCACCAAGAGCTGCACTGAGGTGTCCCATGGGCCCTACAGCGGGGGCTGGACCAGTGTCAGCGTCCGGCTGCCCCGGTCTCTGAACCACAGGCATCAACTCACCCTGCTTCCTCTCCACTCCAGTGCACAGATAGGCAAAGACATCACCCTGCAAGGGAACATGGACCCCTGCGCCCTCTATGCACCCAAGGTGAGTGACAGCTGCGGCCAGCAACAGGGGCTAGTTTCAGCCTATGTTAAAAGCCTCCTTGCCTCAGTTTCCCCACCCGGAAAGTCAGCTCCTGTCCCAGCAGGACTAAGTGGTGGGGTGTATGTGCCCTGCCCTATGGCATGGGGATCCAAGTACCCCAGGCTGGAGGGGGCCTAGTGGGGAACTGGGTACCCCAGGCTGGATGAGGCTGACACATGATTTCCCACCATGCCTGCAGGAGAAGATTGGGGAGCTGGTGAAGAAGATGCTGGAGGGTTTCGGGACCCAACGCTACATCGCCAACCTGGGCCATGGCCTTTACCCTGACATGAGCCCTGAGCATGTGGGGGCCTTCGTGGAGGCTGTGCATGCCCACTCCCGCCACATGAACAAGCACAGCTGAGCCCTGGAGCTCAGGGAACAGGACTGTGGCCGAAGCATGGCCACCCCAAGTGCTGCGTGGTCACAGGGCTCATTCCAGGTTGGGATGTAGCATTAAACCAGCGCCTTCTCTGTGGCGGCCGTGTGGCTCTGGCTGGGGTGGGAACGGGGAATTGGCTGACCCCAGAGGAGATAAGCAGTGCTGCCAGTCCAGCAGCGGGGTGTATGAGGACGATGGGGAGCCCTTGAGCCCAGGCCTGCGGTTGGGATGGAGTACAGGGGGACTCCAGGGATCCTCATCCTGTAAAGCAATTGCTCAGGAGCCCTAACAAACAGTCCTGAGGGTCAGCCTGGGTCTGGCCATCCCCCTGCCAGGCCCTGGAGCGGGAATCGCAGTGGCTCCTTGGCCACAGGGAGGACACAGCCATTTCCTGGCCTCTCTTGCCCTAGGAGAGGCTGTGGCAGGCAGCCTCCTGGCGAGGCAGGGTTTGGGCAGCTTTGGGGGTGGGGTGGGGGTGGGAAGTGACTGCCAGGCCCTGGCCAAGGCCAGCTCTCCCTGCTAGGGCTGGGAAGTGGTGTGCCAGGCACTTGTGAGAGGGGATGTGTGCCCAGACCACAACTCCAGGCACTAAAGATAGGCTCAGCCCAGCAAAGGGAGAAGAGCTGCCATAGGATGGTGGGTGCCTGGGTCCCAGGGACTTGGGGATCATCACATCCCACCTCTGCTACAGGCTCAGCATGACCACTGCCAAAGCTCTCGGTGGCCATTTGGCATGGCCCTGCTTTGGCTTGGCCCTTCCACAGCCTCCCTCAAGCAGTGCAACAGCAACCCAGCAGTGCTGGGGCCTCCTCATGCAGGTAGCAGACCCAGTGAGTGGGACTCGCTTTGGGGACAGCCAGCTTGTGCCTGCCAGCCATGTGGTAGGAGTCCTCTGGGTGCCAGCAATGCCCTGCACAAAGCTCTGCTGGCTGGGCCGGAGGCAGAGCCTGCTTGCACTGGACCGGTGCAGCTAGCCTGGCCCTAGCATAACCACCTCTCTCCCATCTCCCCACCCAGGCTGTCTTTGGGACCATCCCACCAGACCTTGAAATCCCCCCACAAACCCATCCCCTCCTCTGGGGAGGAGGGGGCATCTCAATTCTGCTTGGGGCTCAGCACACCCCAGAGCAAGCACCCTGGGGTGCTGGGAGCAGCC